ATGCTTCAAGTCCTCCTCAGTTTTGGGGAGCAAGATTGTGTCATGTACATAATGCAGGTTGTTGATAAATCTTCCTCTAATTCTCATTCCCCATTCTTGTGCCCTTTGCTATTTATCCTCTCTTGATATCCATGCCCTGGCATCCACTGATACTATAGTTTTGCCTCTTCTGAAATTGCATATAAATGGAATTTGCAGTAAGATTATCTTTTGTGTCTGGCTTATTTTGCTAAGCAAAATACTTTTGAGATGTATTCTGCTGTGCTTTTCAGTAGTTCCATTTTATTGTTTGGTAATATGCCCTTGTATCCATTTGCCACAATATCTTCTTCTGTCCAGTGGTTAATAGTCGTTTGGATTCTTTCCAGTTTGTGATGTAAATGCAATGCACTTATGATGCAGAAACTTTGCCCTAAGGTGAGGATCTTTGTTTTCTTGCTATTGAGATGTAATCCAGTGTAAGAGAATTATGCCAGGCAAGCATTTATTTGCCTGAAAGGAGAATGTATGTGTTAGGGTGATGGGGCAAATCTTCATTACAATAGTTAGAATATCAGTATATTTTTTTTTTAATATTAGCAGTTTCATGAAACAACCTGTCCATTGTCCTACTCTAAAATCAACATCAAACTAACATAAAGCTATATACTTAATTCCTCCTTTTTGTGTTAGAGTTTATGCTAGTCTCCAGGATACGAGAAAGATCAAGGGAAACTGGGACTGTATCTTCATAATCCTAATTTTACAAAGGCAATAGATGGTCATATGTACTGCATTGAATACAATGTGTACTTATTTTGTTATTGTTGTTGTTATGTGCCATCGAGTAGGACTCATAGCGACCCTATGAACAGCCAACTTGAAACCTGCCCTATCCTGTGCCATCCTCACCATCTCTGAGACTTTAGAACCCATTGCTGAAGTCTCAGTCCATCACGTTGGGGGTCTTCCTCTCCTTCGCTCTGTCTCCATCTTTCCAAGCATATCCTTTTTCCAAGAGATAGCTTTGCCTAGCTCCATGCCAAAATTATGGAAGACTAGCTTTATCATCCTTACCTCCGAGGAGCACTCTGGACACACCCTTTCCAGGACATACCTATTTGTTCTTTTGGTGACTAGGGCATATTCAGTACTCTTCACCAGCACTTCAACTCAAAAGGCATCATTTCTCCTTATGTCATCCTTATTCATTGTTGAGCTTTCTGATGCATATCAGGTGATTGAGAAACTATGGCCTGAATCAAGGGCAAAGTAGTCTTCAAACTGACATCATTGCTCTTCTGTATTTTGGAGAGGTTTCTGACAGCAGACTTGTGCCATGCAACCTGTCTCCTCATTTCCCGACTTCTGGTTCCATGGGTGTGGATTGTTGATCCAAGCAAAATGAGATAATGCACAGCTTCAAACTCTTCTCCGTCTGTCATCATGTTGCCAGTTGGTCCTATGGTGAGTGAGGATCTTTGTTTTCTTGATATTGAGATGTAATCCAATCTGAAGGCTGTAGTCCTTGGTCTTCTGCAGCAAGCCTTTCTTATCACTTTCAGTAAGCAAAGTTGTGTCCTCTACATAACACAGGTTATTGAGTCTTCTTCCAATCCTGATGCCACACTCCACTTCATATAGTTATCATAGGTATTGTTAAACTAATTAAAAGTCCACTTCTCACAAATGTAATCAATTGTAAATAAAAGTCTCTTTAGATGATAGCTAAATATTCTGAATAGTAATTAGTATGCCTATTTTTTTCCAGGTTCATTACTTTGTTAAAATTGCATTTGGTACTACCAAGTCCCTGGGTGGCTCAAATCTTTAAGTGTCCAAACACAGAATAAAGGTTGGTGGTTCAAACCCAGCTCTGCCTCCAATTGTCATGCTTGAAAAACCTATAATGTATATGTACTCTACACAGAATATCACTATGAATCTGAATTGATTTTGTGGCAATTGACAACATATTCTGTACTCTTAATTGAGAGGAGGGACTTAAAGGAATAACAAGAACTTTGTAAAATGTCTGTTTGGGAACCAGCTTTACCAGGTGGACTAACTACTTAAACTTTTTTATATCATGGTGAAGTCTAAAGAAAATCTATAGTTGGTGCTAAAGGAAATTATTCATTTATTATTTGCAAAATAATTGGGTTATTCTCTTAACATAATTGACTTTCAATAAATATTTGCTTTTTATGGCTTTCTCCCTAAGGGGAACTCTGGTGATATAGTGGTAAGGAGCAAAGCTGCCAACCCAAAAGCACAAAGTTCAGATCCACTGGCTGCTCTGAGGGAAATATATGGACTAGACAAACTTCCCCTGTCATTTATAGTTTCTGAAGCGTCAGTTATGAGTCAGTTCCAACTAAATGGCACATACCAATAATGAATGTGGGTAAGAGCTGCAAAACCAGCAGAGAGGACTAGATGGCAGCACTGAGGCCATCCCACTGTGCTCAATAGCACATCACAGTCAAGTCCCCGCCTTCCCATGTCTGACCCTCTAAAGGGTCACAGAAGCACTAATTGCACAAGAAGAAAATGCCCATCTTTCTCCCTCAGAACCACTGTTTTATCTGAACTGCCTGTGAGCCTGGGCCATTGGCTTAGTGGCACAACACTGACCTACACCGGAGCTCCTCCCCGACAAGATCCTCCCAAAATGCCCCATAGTTACCTTGCTCTGATTTTTCTAAATTTATCTGTAACACCCTCCCGAGTCCTTCCCTCTGATAAAAGTGCTGAGAATTTTATGTTTCCTTGGTGGAGCTCCCCAATTAAAACAAGCTTGGAAGCAGGAGTGGCTTCCACTTCCATAATAGCTTGCCTCTGGAAACTCTATGAACCTGGAAAAAGGACGAAAGTCACACAAGTGTTGAGGACTTTTGTTCATAGGGTGCTAGGAGTCACCTATGACTCGATGGCACTTAACAACAACATCTTCAAATAGAAGGAATTATATCTATATGCTGAGCAAATTATTTGAAAAGCTGGACTCTATGAAGAAGACGAATGTGTCATTCAGGATTGGGGAAATACTCATCAATAATGTACGTTATGCAGATGAAGCAACCTTGCCTGCTGAAAATGAGGAGGACTTGAAGCACTTGCTGCTGAAGATCAGAGAATGCAGCCTTCAATATAGATTGTGTCTCAATGTGAAGAAAACAAAAATTTTCATGACTTGATTGATAGGCAACATTATAATAAAGGTTGAAACTGTCAACAGCTTCATCTTACTTGGATCCACAGTTAAGACCCTTGGTACTACCAGTCAGGAGATGAGGAAACATTGTACTGGGAAAGTCTGTTGTCGGGGACCTCTCCCTAATTCTTGAGGAACAGTGATGTCATTTTGAGGATTAAGGTGTGCCTGCTTCAGGCCAGGGTCTTTTCAATCACTTGCTGTACATCTGAGAGCTGGACAGTGAATAAAGATGACAAAAGAAGAATTGATTGATGCTTTTGAGCTGTAGTGTTGGAGAAGAGCACTGAAGATCCCACGGACTGCCAAAAGGACAAGTAGGTATGTGTTGTAGAAGGAGCAGTTGTGACTCACAGCAACACTTAGGACAGAGTAGACGGCTGCATAGGGTTTCCTTTCCAAGGCTGTAAATCTTTACAAAAGCAGACAGTACTCTTATGGAATGCCTAGCAGGATTGAACTACTGACTTTTCAGGAAATAGCCAAATGCTTAACTCTTTACTCTTACAGAAATTATTTTGTAGTTTTGTTATTGTTGTTAGGTGCTATCCAGTCTACAACGATTCACAGTGACCCTGCAAACAACATATCAGAATTCTGCGCTATCCTGCACCAGCCTCCCAGTCTCTGCCATGCTCAAGTTGTAGCCACTGTCAGTCCATCCTGTTGAGGCTCTTCTTCTCTTCTCTGTCCCTCTACCTTTTCTAACATGCTTCCTTTTACCAAGGGCTGGCTTCTCCTGACAGTATGCCCAAAGTGTGGGAGATAAAGTTGTATCATACCAGCCTCTAAGGAGTACTCTGTTTGCACTTCCTCAAACTCAGATTTGTTCTTTGGGCAGTCCATGCTGTATTCAGTACTCTTCGCCAAGACCACAACTCAAAGGCATCTGTTTTCTCCAGTCGTATTCATTGTTAAACTTTCAAATTCACTGACAACACCATGGCTTGTAATTGACAAAATGGATAGAGTCTGATTTTGTGGAATTTACATTCTGGTGGTAGGATTCAGAGAGCAATAAAAAAAATAATTTTTGTCTATAGTATGATGGTGTACGTGGCCTTGCTATAGTTAGCCTAGATAGAACAAATGCTTGAAATAAGATACCATGAAAGGAATTGAATGACATTAAAAAGTGAGTCTGGCATATGAATAAAAGATCTTCCTAATAGAAGGAACAGCAAGTGCAGAAGTCCAGAGGCAGCAGTGTGTTTGGTTGGACTGATAAAATGCTGAACAGATAGTAGCACATAAAAGGTTCTTATGGGAGCTCTGGTGGTCTAAGAAGCTATGCTGCAATCCGTAAGGCATGTGGTTTGAATCTACCAGATGCTTTGCTGGAGAATGAGGGACAATCTCCTCCTATACTAGTTGGATCCAGCTCAACGGTACCCAAGAGGAAAGGTGGGGGGAAAGGTTCTTGTATCCCGTGGCTTCAATTTGTCCTTCCAGTGTTGGTGGTGGTGGTTGTTGTGTACCATTGAGTCAGAACTGACTCATAACTGACCCTCTGGCGGGTTTTCAGAGGCAGTTAATCGCATGCGAGGAGATTGCCCATCCTTCTCCCACAGAGCAGCTGGTAGCCATGAACCATGTGCCTTCAGGATTGCAGTGCAGCTTCTTGCCACTATAATTTTGCCAAGTTCCAATGGTAGAAGTTGATAATCTGGAGTAAATCTTCTAAATTATTATGAGAAGCCCTTGTTACCTCTGGTGCCAAACTTTTTTTCCTAACCAATCAGCGTTCCTTTTCTTCCTCTTTTCTTACCCTGCTTCTTTTCTGTCTGTTCCTCTACCCAGGATTCTGTAATCTGGAAGCGCCTCCAAAGTCAGGATAGGACAAGCAGGAGGCAGGAGAGTAAGTGAAATGACTTCAGCAGTACTGGTGGATATACGAGATGAGGTGACCTGCCCTGTCTGCCTGGAGCTCCTGATGGAACCCATGAGCCTAGACTGTGGGCACAGCTTCTGCCAAGGCTGCATCACAGGGAACAGCAAGCAGGCAGAGCTGAACCATGAAAAGAAAAGCACCTGTCCCGTGTGCCGGACCAGCTACCAGCCGGGGCACCTCCGGCCCAACCGGCACCTGGCCAGCATAGTAGAGCGACTCCGAGAGGCAGTGTTGGACCCTGAAAAGCAGCTGAAGGTAAATCTTTGTGACTACCATGGAGAGAAACTTCAGCTCTTCTGTAAGGAGGATGGGATGGTCATTTGCTGGCTTTGTGAGCGATCCCAGGAGCACCGAGGTCACCACACGTTCCTTGTGGAAGAGGCTGCCCAGGAATACCAGGTGAGATACGAGGCTGGAAGGGATCAGGGGGAAAAACATCTTTGGCACAATATTTTGCCTGTTCATCCAGCTGTAATCTTAATTTCTTTGTACCTCCCATCTACCTAGAGGGAGCTGTGGTGGCCTAGTGTTAAGAAGCTGTGCTGCAAACCCAAAGGCATGCGCAGTTCAAGTCCACCTAGCTGCTCCATGAGAGAAGGACAAGTAGTCTCTTCCCATGCAATGTACAGCCTCTGAAAACCCACTGAGGGTCAGTTAGGAGTTGGTCCCGGCTCAGCAGCACACAGCAACAGCATCCACCTAGAGGATGAACCTACACAAAGCCCTAATGGTCAAGAGTAGAGATTTTATTACTCCCTGCTCTGGATCACCTCGTGTGACATTTGAATAGAGGGGCAAATGCGGTGGAAAGGGGACGGTAGGTGGAAGTGGTGTGGTGGATTGGGTGTCGGGGAATGTGCTGGCCATGAGAATAAAGGATTTAATGTGCTTTGGAATCAGGTTCTTCCCCTGGGAGGAAAGCGAATCAGCCAATTCCTATTGGTTTCCATCCCCTGTGTACAAAAGATACGATGACCTCAGTTTTTTCATCTCAGGACAGGACAGCCTTCTGAGGTCAGCATAATCTCTACCATATTCATCTCGTGTCTAGGCGCTGAGATAATGTAAAGGTTAGCCCAGTTTGGTCTGATGTGTTCCTTCCAGGAGATGTTCCAGGAGTCTTTGAAAAGGCTGAAGAAAGAACAAGAAGAAGCAGACAAACTAACAGATGTTGTCAGAAAGAAGAAGGCATACTGGCAGGCAAGACACTGTCTTGGGATAAGAAATCGGGAAGGTCATGGAAACTGAGGGCCATAGGAACCCCGATCTCATCTGTTACCTAATGTTAGGCTAGAATGGTTTCTCTTTCCCTTTTCCTGATCTTTCACTAAAGGAGTGCTGGTAGCCTAGTGGGAAGGAGCTGTGCAGCCAACCCAAGGGCATGCCGTTTGAATCCATCAGCTGCTCTGCGGGGCTATTGCACAGGCTCTCCCCCTATGCCATTTACCACCTCTGAAAACCCACTAAAGCGTCAACCCCAAGTTGATTCTGACTTGACAGTTCATAACAACACTATCATAACAGCTCCTACTACAGCATTGCCAAGTAAGGACATTGCTCTTGGTGCAAATGGAGGGAAGTAATATTTATTTAAGGAATATACCAAAAGTGATCTCAAACTTTTGGAGAGAAACACATAGGAGAGGGAGATAAGGCAAAGATGATCATTGATTCTTGGCACTGGCCTTTGTTTTACAGTTTCAGGTTCTGAATCCTCCTAGGAAAGATAGGTTAAGCACATGCCAGTAATTCCCATCTCAGCACTCAAAACTTGAAAGGAGGCATAAGCAGTTAGAAATTAGTCTGTATCAAAATGTCCTGGATAAGGTAGCTAAGGGCTAATGGTCTGGGAAGAGCTGAAGAGAGAAACAGTTTCTGTAAGCTTATTGCTCATTTATTCCTCTTCCTCTGTCGAAGAGACCCTTAGCTGCTTTCTCTTCCCTTTTCTTGAAGAGTCAAGTGGAACCTGAGAGGCATAGAATCCAGAAACAGTTTAATCAACTCAGAAGCATTCTGGACAAAGAAGAGCAGAGGGAACTAAAAAAACTGGAGGAAGAAGAACGGAAAGGACTGACTATCATAGAAGAGGCTGAAGATGAGCTGGTCCAGCAGAGCCAGGCACTCAGAGAGCTCATCTCAGATCTGGAGCTTCGGTGTCAGGGGTCAGCAATGGAGTTGCTTCAGGTAAGAATCTTTAATGAGCCCGTAATCTGTGAGTCAAAGAAAAGAGAAATCACTTGCCTTGCTTTCTAGGACATGGAAGTGAAATCTGAGGACATAGGAGAAGTTGCCTATTCCTATCCAGTTATAAAGGTAGCAAGGTAAAGCATAAGACAAAGCTAGCTAAGAAAATACCGAATTTTATTTGTTCGGGTTTTTTCTTTGTTTACTTAAAAAAATTGTCCAGATGTCTGATTCTGTCAAAAAGCTCTATTTTAACTAATATTCTGTAACAGTTTTTCTCAGTTATGCCACTACTGACATTGAGGCAAAAGGATTAAAATTTGTAAGTGGCTCTGCTTTACACTGTGAAATTTTAATTAATAGCCATATCCTTCCCCACTAAAAGCCAATGTCCTTGCCTTAGTGACAACCAAAACGCACCAGATGTTGCCAAATGGTTCCTGGGGAAAACGTAACACACTATCCTTCCACTGCCTTTATAAGAGTCACTATTCTGTTGACCATTTGTCACAATAATGAATAACATGGTGGAGATTTTGATATCTTCTTCACAAGAAGACGGTGAATCTAGATAAACAACATAAGATTGATTTCCATGAGGCAGAGATCTGAAAAGTCCTCTTTCTTCAAGTCTTTTTACCAATTCTGACACAAAGCCATTCCTTCCATAGCATACTCTGCTTTGTTTGCTAATTCACCACTGAGAAAACTCAGCATTATAGGGTGTACTAAAATTCCAGAAGGCTCTGGTAGCCTAATGGCAAGAAGCTACACCGCTATCCCGAAGGCACTCGATTCAAGTCCACCAAAACTTGAACCTCCACAGGAGAAAGATGAGCAGTCTCCTCTGAAATCCCGCTAGAGGGTCAGCTATGGGTTGGTTCTGACTCGATGGTACACAGCAACAGCAGGAGAATACCAAGTTGTAACTGAGGATCAAACAGCCCCAAGCTCTACCATGTTTAGGCAAGCATTACCAAGCTCTCTACTCATACGAGTAAGTACTCAGAAACACTCCACTCTGCTAATATGCCTCCTACTCAAAGGTGTTTAGCTCTGTGGGCCAGTAAGCTTAGTTCTGCACTATCAAGAAACCACAGGCATATCATTCTGTCAGCAAACATCTGTCTAAAGACATTCAGCCTCTTGCTCCATGAGCTAGGAAGACCTCTGCCATCTCCTGCTTGTCTCTTGATTATGTGAGTCATAACATCCCTAGTGTTACAGCTGTTTGTCTCTTTGATCTAGAAGCTTCCAGTGCAGGGTTCCAGGACCAAACATACTCACTGTAATCTCATATCTTCTTTCTTGGCCATAGTGAATTCCACCTTTGTGAGAGCTCATCTGAAGCCTAGCAGGATGGCAAAACTTACAATCACCAACACGCCCAAGTGTTCACATATTTTATTTACATTACTGTCCAATACCCTCAGTGGACACCTTATTTGAATAGTTCCACCCAATTGTTTGTTGACTATCGCAAGATAGGACTCTGTAGAAGTTATTCTTCACATTGTACTGGGCACCTTCTAATTTAGCTTAATCATAGTAAACACGTGCCAGATTAATGTTCCTGAGAATTTTTAAAATGAGTTCAGTTTATTTATTTTTATCACTGATTGTTTATGTATACTATCTTTTTCTGAGACAGAATCATTTAATATGTTGTAATACAAGTTAGAACAGTTCTTGGGGCAGGAAGAAGACAAAGCTGTACTCTTTGTGTTAATGGAATATATTTAAGTGTCCAGACTAGACAGATGAATGGAGGAGTTTGAAATAAGGTTAAAAACTGAGCAATTTTTTCTATATCAACTGAATGTTGGGACTTTAAAATTAAGGCATGAAGTACCTCCTTAAAATTGTAAAAATTGCTTCTTAAATACAAAGTCATCATTATTTTTTATTATCAGTAAAGACACTTATCTTGGACTCCATCCATTACTATAATTGTCCAAGGGATATTTTGAGTGTTATCTCAATCTTTCAAAACTCTCCCATCATTCTTTATTCTCCTTACACAATGGACATGAAGAGGTACATGCCTTAAGTATGGCAATGCCTTAAGATTGACAATCGTGGACATTTTGTTTTTATGAGTTAATAGATCTATTATTTCACCTGCTTTTTTTGTCCAAACTAATATGAGCTGTTTTTCTGTCAAGTACAACGAAATAAAACCTTGAAATGTAGAAAAATCCCTGTTGACTATTTCTTCGGTATCATTGAGATGCATACATAGAGCAGAAATTTGGGAGCCCACATAAGAGGCAATTGGGCAGTTCTACTCAAATGAATGTGACAGGCAATAGCACTGGCTAATGGGACTAGCAGAAGACTAAAAGAAACTATAAGAGTTTAAACTGGTCTGGCTTGCTGAAAAATGGAGTGCCAGAATGCACATACGGTAAATTTTTAGGATGAAACTTTTTTCAGGCAATTGAGTGTTATCTGTCAGGGATTTGGAGGATAAGAAACATCATGGTTATGGGAATAAGTACCTTGAGTTTATGGTGCCTGTGGCTTATTTGCTATGAGGATAAATTAATCTAGAGGAGATCTTTGGTGGCTTTCTGGTAAGGAGTTACGCTTCCAGCCCAAAGGCATGTAGTTTGAATCCACCAGCTGCTTTTTAGGAGAAAAATGGACACTCTTCTTCTGTGTTGTCTCTGAAAACCAGCTAGAAAGTCAGCTGTAAGTTGGTTCTGACTCAGTGGTACATAACAAAGCAAAATTATCTGGAATCTAAAAGAAAGAGATCTGAACATGGGTAAAAATTTGAGAATTATCAACACCTGTGTATATTGAAATCAAGAAAAGGAAGCAAAGGCAGAGTACGATGTTTAAGGCTTCTTAGCTTATGCTCTAAGGAACCCTGATGGCACAGTGGTTAAATGCTTGGCTGCCACTGAAAGATCAATGGTTTAGACCTGCCAACAACTGCACATGGTAAAAGATCAGATGATACATGACTTTAAGGATTTCAGCCAAGGGAAAGTGATGAGGCAGTTGAGTTACCTTATCATAGTGTTGCTATGAGTTAGACTTGGGATAATAACCACAGCCACCAGATAATAACCTTGGCCACCAGAATGCAAAATTATCAAGGACTGAAGCTATGGCTTAACCACCGAAATTTTCAGGTCTGGGTATGATTTCTGGCCAATAACAGAGCATATGCATACATAACATTAACAACCCCCCCAAAAAAAAGTTGTAAAATATGAAAGTACAGTGAATGAATTGAGTTGTCTTTCCCTGATATCCAACATAAGTTATTAAAGAGAATCTTCCCTGAGTTCTTATCTATATTATCTTACTGCCACATTGAGGCCATCTTTATGCCAATTATTTCATGGGGTGGTGGGAATGGGATGGAGCATGGGTGAGTTTTCATTGAAAGGGCAGAGCGTGTACTGCTTCTTGACTTAACCTTTCTCTTTCCTTCCTAGAATGTGAATGATGTCACGCAAAGGTATGTGTAGAACAGAATGAAACTCCTTTCTGTTATCAGGAGATTCCTGCACCCCTAAAATTTAATAGTGGTCAGTTAGAAGAGAACAGGTGGGGACAAAAAGCCATTTGGCACAGAAGATTTGGGATTTTCATGACTTGAGTTACTCATAAAAATTTTAAAGTCTCAAAAATAAGAAATACTTTGTAAAAGAATTTGAGGAGTGGGGATGGGAGGTCACAAATTGAGGACAATAGTGCCATTGAAATCCTTTCTACTCAGCGATGTCCCTAGTTTGCTACCACATGATTCCTTTCAGTAAACTTTTACGGTGACTTCCTGATGATTCTAATAGTTTATATGTTATTGTTGATCTTCTGCTACAGGAGATTCAAATCCTCTTCACTTTCAGCAAACATTTGTATAATGCAAATTGTTAATGAGTTTTCTTCTGATCTTGATGCACACTCTTCCTTTTAAAGTCCAGCCTCTCAAATGATTTGCCCAACATACAGGTTGAACAAATATAGAGAAAGGATACAGCTCTGATATACACCTTTCTTGATTTAAACCATGCTGTGTTCACTTGCTATGTTCCCACAACTACCTCTTCGTCAACATATAGATTTCATATGAGCACAGTTAAGTGTTCTGGGATTCCCATTCTTCTCAGTGTTGACCATAATTTGTTTAGCCAAATGCCTTTGCTTACTCAGAATACAGATAAACATCCTCTGGTATTCTTTTCTTTTCTATCAGCCAGATGGTGAGAAGGTTTTTTGAATTCAGGTATTCTGATTCCAATGCTAGAACTATTTTTACAGGGATATTAAGTTTCATGAGAAAAACCTGAATTTTTCAGTGGCCTGGCAGAGCAGGGAAAAGTCCTGGAGGTTAACAGTATGGAAATTTATAAGGTCTGTCTTCCCTAGGAGTGAGTCATGGACCCTGAATAAGCCGAAAGATCTTCCTACTAAGCTGAGAAGTTCATTTCGAGCTCCCGATCTGAAAAAGATGCTTCGAGTATTTAGAGGTGAGGAGACTCAGGAGAGTTTGGATGTGGGATTACCAACATGGTGAGAAATACATTGGATACAGGGTTCAGTTGAACTAGTTGATGGCAATAGTGAAGAAGGGAAAGATATGATATATTAAAAAGTGTGGTTCCTGTTTGATGTGAAATGACTGGTTCACATCCTCACAGAACTCCTTTTTTCATCTTTTCACTCCCCAAAATCCAGTAAGCAGAGAGATATGTTAGTCTTGAGATCTTGGGTTCTGTCAACATTGACTTTTTATCATTACAGAGCTGACAAATGCCCAAAGCTTCTGGGGTAAGTAGAAACAATGGCTGCTTTGAGCCGGCATATTCTGATCCCCTTTCCCATGCCCCTCCCCAAATAAACCCTACCCCAACTACTTCACAGAATTAAATTTCTCCCTATCACTTTCTGCTCCCTCCTCGCCTAGTGCTTCAAGACCTATGTACTCATTCACCTCTGCTAATACTGTACATTTTTTCCACAGTGGATGTGACTCTGAATCCACAGACGGCTAATTTAAATCTGCTTCTGTCTAGAAACCTGAGGCAGGTGAGATTTGTGGGTGATAAGCTACCTGGGCCTTCCTATCTGAGAGAGCATTATGACTGTAGTGTCCTGGGCTTCCAGAACTTTTCCTCAGGAAAACATTACTGGGAGGTAGATGTGACCAACAAGACTGACTGGGTCTTGGGTGTATGCAGTAACTCACTGGTGCCTGAATCTTCTTTCTACCCATACACCAATAATCAGAATGTTTTCACCGGCTATCAACCTCAAAGTGGATACTGGGTGATTGGCTTAAAGCATAATCATGAATATAGAGCCTACGAGGACTCTTCTACTTCTCTACTTCTCCTCATTACTGTGCCTCCTCGGCGTGTTGGGGTTTTCTTAGACTATGAGGCTGGCATTGTCTCCTTTTATAATGTCACAAATCATGGCCTTCCCATCTACACCTTCTCTAAGTACTATTTTCCAACTCCCCTTTGTCCATATTTTAATCCTTGTAACTGTGTAGTTCCAATGACTCTGCGTTACCCTTGCTCTTGACCCTTCTGTTACCCTCACCTGTCCCAATCTCGTAATGCTGCTATACAAAAATACGAGTGGCTTTAATAAACATTTCTTTTTCTCATCACTTAAGAGGCTAGAATTCTGAATTCAGGCCACTTGATGTAGGGTAATGCTCTGTCTTTTGGCTTTGTGGGTAAAAATCCTTATTTCAGCTTCTCTAAAGTTCTCTATGTTCCTTGAAGATGTCCCATGGTACCTATTTCTCTTTCGTTCCTGTTTACTTTCTTGTGTCTGTACCTAATTTGCTCTTTTTAAATCTCAAAAATGATTAGTTAAGGACACTGGAACACATTAGACACTAATACAACCTCATTAATGTAACATAGAAAAACCCTATTCCCCAATGAGATTACAACCACAGGTAGCGGAGGATAGGATTTATACCACATATTTTGTGAGGATGTAATTCAATTCCTGACACCACCATTTCTGAAAAGTATCTTTTTTGCCCTGAGACTCATTTACACTTGAGTCTCTTTACTTTTACGTATTCACTCCTTTGTTTTTTAACATTTACTCAAAACCATCACAGTATACCTAATGATGGAAGTGAGCATTCTTGAAATGGGAGAGAAGAAACTGAATGTTTTGTCATGAGGCACTGTATTTCCTATGCATGTTATTGTTCATACATAGAATCAAATTTAGGATATCCCTTTATATATTTGGTATGAATTTGGTTCTTGTTTTGTACCAACTAGAGCATTGATTTTCAGCCTATCCTTTCCCTATAATTACTGAGATAATTGTGTGATATTTTCATTCTGTTAATATGGTTAAGTGTATTGATATATTGTAAATGTGAAGTTTAACATAAATTACTGAAATAAACTATTATTATCTTTCATTTGCTGGAGAGATCTGCAAAAGACCTCTTTAAAGTGCTAAAGATGTCACTTAGGACTCTAAATACCCGTCATAGTATTTCCAATTCCCTCATATTGCATGTACCCAACTGCCCTCAAGTCAGTTACAACTCATGATGACCCTCCATCAGAGTGCCAAAGCTGTAAATCCTTACAGGAAGAGTCTGCCTCAACTTTCTTCTGAGGAGTAGCTATTGAATTTAAACCCTTGTCCTTTTGGTTAGGAGCCCAGCATATTATGGCACCAGTTAGATGTTGGACAGTTAACCTAAATGTCAGCAGTTTGAGTTCACTAGCCAATCTTCAGAAGAAAGATGAAGTAGTGTCCTTTTCTTGTAAAGATATACAGCCTCAGAAACCCTGCTTGTAAAGATTTACAGCCTCAGAAACTGTGGTGGGTCACCATGACCCAGAACCAACTCGTGACAATGAGTTCACATGCATGAAATGCTAGAGTGTGAATAAATGAAGACAGTAGAGAAGAGTGGTTGTTTCTGCATTACGGTGCTGATAAAAATACAGAGCGTGGTTAGGATATGAACATCTGATAGACAACTGCTAGCTCTTTCAATCAGTTCTATCACAGCCTATAAAGCAAAGCAAAACAGGAGTAGAAGCTAAATGTAAAGATTTGAATGAGGAAAATTTAGAGCTTAAATGCTTGTTATCAGGAAGGATCACTCTAGAGAAAATATCAATGCTTTATGTTAGTAAAGTAGAGGCTTCAGCAGAAAGGAGAACTTTGATAAGACAGATTGCCACAGTAACTGCAACAAAGAGTTCAAACGTAGTAATGATTGTGAAGATGCTGAAGGATTGGGCATTGTTTTACTGTGTTACACATAAGGTATTCTGAGTTAGAACTGACGACACAACATACCTCACAAAAGAATGGTTATTTATAATGCTGTATTTGATTTTGCTAGTGTCATTTTGTTTGTGTTTATGAAAGAAATTGGTCTGTATTTTTGCATTGTCATGCCTGTGTCATTATATGAAATGTAATAAAGAAATGGCTACATAAGTGTGTACATATAAATTGAATATTAAAAACATCTGTTATGTTACTATCAGTGACTAAATTAAAATTGACAAAATTCAAATATGAGTCCTTAATGTGCATGATGTTGTTATTATGTACCATTGAGTCAAAACTGACATAAAACTGACCCTCTAGTGGTTTTTTGGAGGCTGTAAATTATATAGGAAATTTCTCTTGTGGAGCAGCTAGTGGCTTCGAACTGTGCATCTTTGGCATGGAAGTGAAGCTCCTCAACCACCAGTGAAAAGAGAACTTTTTTTAAAAAAAAAATTAAATTTTATTAGTTTTAATGAACATTTACAGAGATTTTGGGTTTTCATTCATTCATTGTTGCACCGCTTTCTCCACCCTCCTCCCCAGTCCATTCCTCCCTCCCCCCAATGTCTGTTTTAATTGTCCAATTACCACAGTGCCCGCCAAAGCCACTTCTGATCAGTCTCCCTTGTCAGTGTGTCCCTTGCCATTCCCTATCTCTCCTCCCTGAGAGAGACTTCACCCTGATTCATAAGGAAAAGGGGATGGTGCATTCTCTTAGCTACTTCCTGCTGAAAAGGGACGCTGTGGGTTTCAGGGTGAAGGTCTTCTCTCACTACTCTAAAGGGCCCCTTTGGCAGTAGGAAACACATAGACTATTATGGAGATCAACCCTGGAATTTAGATGCACTGCCATCAACCGTGCCCAGCCGTACATGCTCATACCCTTGAAGATGTATCATGGAAGTGCTGCAGCCTTCAAACTGCAAAGCAGCAAGATGTTCTTCCTTTATCTTGAGTTTCAGCTCATTTTTCCTTTGCATCTCAGCGATTTCCTCTGGGGTGGCTAGTATAGGTGATGATTCTGCTACAGGTGGTGATTTACCAGAATTGCTGAGTCAACCCGAGGGCAGGTCAGTAGTGATGCAGCTCCTGCCGCTGGCTGTAGTGCATCTTTTTACCACTAAGCATAGTAGAGTTCCTCCAGCAATCGGGTGATGAGACTGTCCACATTCAGCTCCCCGTCTGCCATCTTGTCGGCACTCCCGTCCTGCCTTCCCTCCGCAGTGAAGCAAAAGCAAAAAGTGAAACTAAGGCCGGGGCGCCAGGGTGTCCACGGCGCGCTCCGGGCCCGGCCCAGCCTCCCCGCAGCCCTGGGTCCGGTGGGGCCCAGGCCAGAGGCCCCGGAGCCGGGTGCGGGCCGGCCGGGAGAGACGTCTGTCCTTTTATCGAAGAGAGAACTTTTATACAGGAAATGGAAAATTCCTTGAAACTCATCGTAACTGAATGGGATTCATTATAGCTAACCAAGGATGGTTCAACATAAGAAAAACAAGGTAATTCATCACAATAGCAAAGGAAATAACAAGAACTACATGGTCCTATCAATTGATGCAGAAAAGGCCTTCAACAAAATCAACTCCCTTTCCTGATTAAAATACTCAGCAAATTAGGAATAGAATGGAATTTGCCCAACACAAACCCAAGAACCAATATTTTTCTCAGTGGAAAAAAACGAAAAGCATGCCCCCTGCAAACAGGGACCGGAAAAGGATGCCCACTCACCACTCATACTCAATAATGTAATGGTAGTACTTACTAGGGCAATACAAGAGAAGGAAATAAGAGGCATTCAGATTAGCAAAGAGGTAGTAAGACTCACTATATTCAGATGATCTGATAGTGGAGTGGCAGGATATAAGAATAATGAACAAAAATCATTGGGATTTCTGTGCAGTTGTTAGATGCCATTGAATATTACTCATAGCAACACATGAAGAAATACTCAAACTAATCATCATTGACCTCTGCCACCATTATTACCCTGTCATGTCAGGTCCCCACTGGATTTTTCCTAATTCCTTCACCCCCTTCCTGCGCCTACCAAATTCTGTGACCTGTGATTTCCAACCTGCCCACTCTTAAGCCCCTTTAGCTTCCTTCCCTCCCTTTGACCCTCATACACCTCTTACTAATTAATTCTTCTGTTTTTACAGTAATGGTCTTATGCTGCTTTTTGTCCTGATGAGACTTCATTAATTCAGCATAATGCTATCTAGCCTCTCCCATGTTATGTAGTCTTTTTCAAAATCATTGCTCCTAAGTGCTGCATAGTACTCCATCATGTAGATGTACCACAATTTTTCAATCCATTCATTTGGTGATGGACATTTGAGCTGTTTCCATGTTCTTGTGATTGTGCTCTTAATACTGGTATACAGATATCCATTTGTATCTCAGTTCTAATTTCCTTGAGGTATATTCCTAGCAGTGGAATAGTTGGGTCATATAAAAATTACATGTTCTAGCTTTCTGAGGAAATGCCAAACTGTCTTCTAGAATTGTTGTACCTTTTTATAACCCCACCAAATAGTGCATGAGAATTCCAATCTCTCCACATTCTCTCCAACATTTATGGCTTGCTGTTCTGTTGAACTTTGCCATTGCTACTGGGGTGAGATGGTATCTCATTGATGGTTTTGATTTGCATCTCATTAACAGTTAAGAAAAATAACTCCCTAATGAAGCCATCTATTTTAAATTTTCCACCTGAGAGATAATCTTTTTCGAAACTTTTTGCATATATTGTTGTTGTTGTTGCTAAGTGTTGTTGAGTTGCAGATGACTATGAACTATAACAACCCTACAAACGAAAGACCTGAACACTTGTGTAACTTTAATCATATCTCCAAATTCATACAGGGTTTCCTGAAGTGAGCTATTTCGGAAGTGGATGCCACTCCTGCTTCCTAGCTTGTTTTCTTTGGGGTATTTTTTCAGGGGGGGGTGGGTATCCACCAAATAGTGTCCATCATGTGTAACCATTATTTCATTTGACACATCAGTGTCATAGTGTTCAGCATTGCAGCAACCATGAGTTACCTCTGTACACCAAATGGACAGACCAGTGCTATACCACTTAGAAGAATGTTTGACCAAAAACAATTAAAACAAATTTGCATATATTAGATTAAGTAAAATAAGCTATCAAATTAATTTTGCCAGTTTTGTTTTTTTAAAATGTAGGTATTAAACTGTTAATTATTACTTGAGACTCACATTGTTTTCCTGGTGGATAACACCGGACCAAAGCC